ATCTTGGTGCCAATGTAAACAGACAACCTCCGAGTCCCAAAGCAGAGACAAGGCCAACAAGTGATAGGGAGTACCTTAGCCTTCTTCCGTCCACCAGTAGGACGAGAACGAAAACAGAGGCAGCCCAAATCCCAAACAAGAGTAATGTGGGGGGTACAACGACGACGAGAAAGAGCTCGCCTTGAGACTCTTTCAATGATCAATGGCGACGGTGCAGACGACCATCTGCCATGCAAGCAACGCATTGCTAGGCAAGAACAGACAGGCTACACTGCCCGAAACAGACAGACAGATATCCAGAGAGTACGGCCAATAGCATGGACTCCAGGCAAGGATGTTCCGCACAAGACCCTTGTTCTTTAACAGAACAGTCTGATGCCTAGGCGCGCGCGCGGGTCGCTCAATAAACCGTAACCCCACTCTGTGTCCCGGCATACTGACTCTTCATATCATCCAAATCCCCATTATCATCCATACTCTTATAATCAAACCCAGAAACCATAGAACCCACATCACTCGTACCCGTGACACTCGAATTCCCAAACGATCCTCTCCTCTTCAACCTATCACTCTGCGAAAACGCCAGATTCGGTCCTGTTCCAGATCCCAAGGTAGGCCCACCAACAACAGACGAAGCAACCGATGAAGAAGTGGGGCCTCCGATGACTGAGCTTCGGTCAGTGTCTGTGACTACAGATCCAGGTCCACTCGTCCCGTTACCCCCTCCAATATCCTGAGATATAATCGAAGATGCATAACTATAACGACTCTTGCCTACCCCACCTGCACCTCCAACCGCACCTCCTCTCGCTCCACCACCTGGAGCTCCACTCGAGCTAAAGGGTCCAGAAGCAGTGAACATGGGTAATCCAGACGAATACGTCGCTTGGGATCTTAGAGACTGAACATCGGAAGGAATATACCCCAACGCATCATGCGAACGATAAAACGACGCATCGAATCGACTCGGTGTGCCTGAACGTCCTCCACTACCACCTCCAATACCAGGAGAGGTCGAAGACCCAGGTCCACCGAGGTATTCTCGGGCGTTGGTTTCGTGTCTTCTAAACTGGTCCATAGATTTCGCGAGAGATCGACGGGGTTTGCTGAATTGGATCATGCTTGGTTGGAGGTTGTTCAATGGGCCTTCGACAAGTGTGCCGCTTTCTTTGTAGTGTGTGAGGAGGTAGTGCCAGAGGGGGTGCTAAGAACAATATTAGTTGGTAACTTTTCCGAAAGGAAAGTATAAACATACCTTTGAAAGGACCTTTGGATTTCCCAAAATAACAACCCCATACTTTGCCCTCGTCAACGCAACGTTCAATCGCCTAGGATCGTTCAAGAACCCAATACCCTGATGCTCGTTACTCCTCACACAACTAAGAATAATATAATCCTTCTCCCTTCCCTGGAAGGCATCGACAGAAGCAACCTCAATCTCCTTGTACAAGTCCTTCTTGAGCGACCCATTAAACTGCATATAATTGACAATATATGAACGCTGCCCTTCATACGGCGTCACAACACCAATCTGTCCAGGGACAACTCCAGACTTGAAAAACTTGGTAACAATCTTCTCCACATTCGACGCTTCGGTTCTGTTCAAGAAACTCGTTCCAGAACTCGAAATCTCCTCTTGGCCAAGATTCTGATAAAAGAACATGGGTGTATCCGGTGCTGGCCATGGGAAATCGACATTCTTCCTCAACCTCTCTGGAGCTGTAACACCGTTCTGCAATGTTCCTTCGTAAAACATGTTTGAAGGGAACTCTGATAGGCACGGGTGCATTCGATATTGGACTTGAAGACGGATAGGTTTGTTGCCCAAGACGACGAGACGCTCAAAAAGAGATTGAGTCAAGCCTGCGCGAGCAGCCTTCTTGTTCATGATGACGGGACCGAGTTGCTGGTGGTCACCGACGAGAACGACTTGTTTACAGCCGAGGACGAGGGGAATCATACATTCTACAACACCAAGTCAGTAAAGAGAGAGAAAAGGGTAAAAGGCGCACGCACCCGGCTCAGCAGCTTGCGTAGCCTCATCGATCAACACCGTCCTGAACTTGAGCTTGCTCAACCTCGGGTCCCCCGCTCCAACACACGTACAACAAATCACATCCGCCGCACTCAAAATCTCCTTTTCACACTGCCTTATCAGCGTCTTGTACTTTCTCTCATCATTACTACTCAACTCTCCTTGCTCATTCTTCAACTGGATCAACTTTTGCAGTTCCACATGCGCAGTGGAATTGGCTACTTGTTGATGGAGAGTCAAAAACGCCACGCTCGAATCCAAGGCTTCTCGAGATTTAGCTGTGAGTCGGACGACTTTAAGACCAGTGTTGTGGATCTTTTCTGTGAGCTGGTCGACGGCGACATTGGAGGGTGCGCAGACTAGGACTTGGTCTGGGTTCATCTTTGCGAGGTGGTAGACGATAGAGGCGGATGTGACGGTTTTGCCTGTACCGGGGGGACCTTGGATGAGACTCAGGGGCTTCTGAAGAACACTCTTGACGGCGAACATTTGAGAGTGATTCAACTCGGGAAGACCTGGAGCGGAGAAGCGTTTGGGCATTTGGGTGCGCAAGACTTGGGGCTCGAGTTCGTGCCCGAGGAGTTTGTGATACTAGACACAGTCAGTGTAGTGTGATGAAAAAAGAGATGAAGACTCACGATATATCCACTAACAGACTTTTCATCTACGGCAAACGTCTTCATCGCAAGCTGCATCCTATCGAAGCTCGTAGACTTCCAGACAAAGTCTGCAGCAAAATTGTGCGTACATTCAGCAGGAACGCCTTCGCTCCTACGCAACTCGAGCGCAACTTCGTCCGAGACGTTGTTGGGAATCTTGATAACATGTCCTACACCCTCCCAACTCTTGTGCAGCTCTCCCGTATATCTCAACCTCAATTCGTCCCCAACGGCCAACCTCACCTCTCCACTCTCCAACTTGGGCAAACAAAACCAAGCAACCCGTTTCTGATTCAATCCCAAATCCCATCTCACAGTGATATCCGTCTGCGTCTGACTCTCCTTGAGCTTTTTATCGTAATCGGCCTCAATCTTGACCAGTGGGCCAAAGATATTCTGATATTGGTACGCATCCTCATAGCGGAGCAGGATAGGCAGAGGATCATCATCTACACCGGGTTTTTCGAGGTCTTCGAGTGTAGCGTTGGCGTTTTCACGCCAGAGATCCTCAAGGCGGTTTATCTGCTGGAAGGAGATTTGGCGAGAACGGAGTTGTTCGGTTTCGCTGGGGGGTTTGACGAGCCAGGAAAGGAAGGAACGGTCGTCGATGAGAGGGGCCCAAAGAGCGGCGTTCCAAGATATTTCCTTGGATATAGCGGCGCAAGGTTGACTAGGGATGAGTCAGTAACTTGATTTCATGAGTAATCACAGTACGCACCGACAGAGTAGAACGACGACAGTATCGCTTTTGGCTGGGATAAAACCAAGCATAAACACGTTTTTACTTCCACAGTTGTAGCACTCTGGAGTAGTCTCTCCGAGAGGCGACTCTGCGTGCAAAATGACTTCCTTGTGTTTAGCGCGCACGAGATGATTGACGATGTGAGAAGCAGAAGTGTTTCCCCTCGAATTGCAAAACCACTTGGAGCAGACAAGACATTTGACGACGGATGCAGGCGAGTGAATGCCACAGTAACTGCGAATTGTAAGAAAAAAATAGACAGAAAATAGCAAGGTTGGCGTACCTGCAAGCGTGAGGCGGCAAATCGACAGCGTTGTCGTCTTTGAAGTCATCCAAAACCGAATCAAACTCGTCTTCCATCACGCCTGTTCTATGGGCGTGGCCATTTCCTTCTTGAGGGTAGCTGTTCGAGTCGGAAACGGAGAGACTGGAGAGGTCGATTGAAGACGCGGCGTCGTGGGTGTTGGCGGTGTAGACGGAAGAGGTGTCGTCTACAATGCCCATTCCTCCATAGGAAGAGGTAGAGTCGTACTGAAAATTGTCAAACGATTCCATGATCACGGTAGTAGTAGAACAAGTACACTGTTGGAGTAAACAGTGCAGTGCTGAACAAATAAATGCAAAGTTGCCTCGGTGTACTCTTAAGTATGCATTATGTCTCGGTATTTTGCTATATTCTCCTCTGCACTGCCTTCCCAAGATGTTCCTTCAATTATCTCTCTAGAAACAGCAAGAATCCTCTCGAATGTAGCAGCATCTGGCGGGCCGATTCGGATAGTACCACCCCTATTGTTCTTGTCGGGTTCAGTACTCAAAGTAGGATCCACATATGAACCATCTCGAAATAGAACGCCATCTGCATCAACAAATTTCTCTGACCAGACCGGCCACTTGATAGCGTCCTTCGTGCCAGGCATCTCGCGATCCGAGAGAAAAGGCCAACGTGCTCGGACCCTCAACTCGTGAATGAGGAAAGCAGCCGGAATCGGTCGGTATAGTCTAAAAGGACCGCTTTTCCATGATACTGCTCGTCTTCAGGTCTCCTGTTATGATTGACGAAAACAAATTTTTGGGTTTAGTGGAAAGTTTATTGCGTGAAAAGACAAAAGTAGAATACGCATTCACCTCTTTAATAAAACGAATGAAAAACCATCGCTCCTCAAACCTGTGATTGTGGTTCCCGCATAGTGTTATCCCATTCCGAGACTCGTGAACTACTGATCTGGCTTCAGACGGAATATAACCACGTCAACGAAGGTCTTCCCACTGCAAGCAATTAGTTTCGCTTATATCTTAGATAGTGCCAGACGCACAGTGTCATCCTCGGCTTTGGGAACAATCCGCGTACTGTTCAGAGGAAACAACGTTCCGCAAACGATACAACATCGTCTGGAACGAAAACGGTCTCGTGTATTTAGGCCGGCCTCAAATACAGTAGTATTCGAAGCTTGAGATATGCTATGAGGATAGGTACCGAATGGAGCCTGCGATGGGAGAGGGAGCATGATGGTCTGAAGAAAAAGACAACAGGGGCTGAGAACAAATACTATAACAAAAGTTCAAAGGGCCTAACTGGGAATTGAACCCAGGACCTCTCGCATTGCAAGCCCAAAGCGAGAATCATACTACTAGACCATTAGGCCGACATTTAAGTGGCCTGTAGTACTAATCCTCTCCCTCTCCAGAATAAAGCTTCAAGCTTCAAGTTTCGTTGATTTCATGATTTCTTCACTTAGCCTTCTCTCCTTGGAATCTTCCTTCAAGCTTATTTGAAAAACTCGTCTTTATATCCAAAGAAAGGTTGTGGATACAGAACACGTCCTACTAACCACCCAAATTCCAAAAGATTCCGATGAACAAGTCCATGCAATTGTAAACTAAAAGTCCATGTCACAGTTCAGTAAAGTACCGCACTCCATAGTTAATTACGCGTCAACATCAGAGCCAATTCACAGCGTTCACTCGGTAATGGTGAACATATCGCTCCTGTTGCCAGAGTCTCCGAACACTTTCGAAAGCCCATTATCAGTATCCTTCATCAATTTAGAGAACCGATAATCAAGACTCACAGGTAATCGAATAATCATCTCCACTTTCCACCTCTGGAACTGTAATCTCTACAAATCCATCGAGCAGATCAAAACCTTCAGCAAGGAAGCCTCCGGGGTGGTTGAACTCTAGAGACAAGGGTCAACGCTGGTTCGAACAAAAATACCAGACAAGAATCAGATACGTACTGTCAATAGGAATATCACCCTTGTTCAAAGCGACAGCAGATCCTTTAGTGATGACTTCGGGCGCGTTGGAGGTGTCCCTACGAGCGCGATAATCAACATGATGCCCAGAATACTTTACGGCCGCTCGTACTCACCAAGTAACATTAACCCTACTTCCAACAACCCAAACCGTGCTCGAATTAGGAGAGATGATACGAGGGACGAATACATCCCTGGGGACAACGAGGGCTAGGGATCCAGAGATGGAAGCAGCGAGTGCGAGAGTGCTAGCGAGAAGAGTGGTTGGACGCATTATATTATGATAGTCGTGAAGAACGTTCGTGAATCAAGTCGTTCGTGAGTAGAAATGTGGGCGACGAATTAGCTTGAGATCCTCTCGTCGTCAACACCTAGCTTTTATACCCCAACCAAGGGCCAATATCGGATATCCAAACATCCACCTGACGGAACATGTCACGGAAGAATGGATAAAGATCTCCGTCGTGCGAACAGTAGAATATTGCGACAAGGTAGAGAACGTTCCAGCGGGGGCCTTTACGCTGCCTCGTCCTGCCTTGTCATTTCGCAAGCTGGAGCGACAACATGTGTGCTCATATCGGTTTGTCTTCTTATGACGAAAGAACGGGCATTTGCTCCCGAATGACTGAACTGAATCATCCAGAATCATCCTGTATTCCAGAGATTTCGTTTGAACGAGCCACAAACTTGTAGACAGTGAACGTTCTTGCTAAAGATCTTCCGGTCTTCAAGCTTGAATTCGACTTTTCTTCTTGCGTTCAGGCTACCTGTCCTCACGAGGACCCGGAGATGCCTGCGCTCAAAAATCCCGGTGCGTCATCAATGCCATTACCCCAAAAGTCACGGTCCAGTTCGAAAGAAAGAAAGGTCGCACGTCACAAAGTCGATCAGAGCGCGGTCAAAGCGCAGTATTACTCGGCTTGGACGCGGAGTACGTGTAACCAGAACAAGTTCTGGTTGTCAGGTAATCCATCTTCAGCTACTTATTTGGCTGGAGATGTAGCTCGAGGATAGGGGGCTCCCCACGTGATACCATGTATTCGCAACTTGAACCTTTGAAACGAACATTGTAGACGCTGCCCACCAGTGATCCACCAATATGCGCCGTTCTATAACCGACCACCAATTCCGGAAATTGACGCAACAGCTCTTCTTCCAACGTACATTCATCGACATATTATGGCCATGGGTCGCTACTGTGCTGGGCAGCGAATTTCAATATCTTCTCGATTCTGATTACTCGGAAAGGTTTATGGATGGTCTTCAAAGTGGGCAGGAGAGGGAAACTTGGGACGAAGAGGATCTAGAGGAAGTAAAAGCTAATATCAAAGGTAAAATACGATTACCTTGAACGCACATTGGGTTCTGACTTTCATGACCTTGCAGGCGGTCTCGCCTGTGTTGGAGTAACGGTATCACCAGCGGAACCGATCCCTCTGTCAATCGTCCGAAAGTTTTCGATATTGGAGGGCAACAACGACGCACAAGTAGCATACCAAAATCTTTCCTCTCTGCTTTTGTCATATCCTTCCTGGGTGTGCAAACCTGCTCAGAAGATGGTACCATCTGAGGAACTCGAGAAAGTTCTCCCATCTGGTGATCTAACTGGATTGTTCAAGGGTGCGTGTTCCATTAACTATGAGAGACACATCTTAAATTGTCTCTATGTAGCGGTACTGGAAGGGCAAGGCTATTCTGTAACCGATGTCCCGGATTCGACTGAGGAAGGTAAATTTTAGCTTTTTCGTGAGGTTGTCGGAAACTGACTGAACTGTTAAACGCTTTTTTTCGTCCTCAAAGAATTGGAAGGTACGTCGAGCTATCCAATTGTCATTCCCAGCCTGAAAGCCATCGTCATCCACAGCTTTAAAAGATTCGCTGGTTCAAGAATATATCTCTGGATCGGATCAGAACCTTTATAACACTATCGTCCAATACGAGAAATTATATCAAGAAAGCGCAATTTACTATTCAAGAAGCTTCTCTGTGGTGAATAGTTCGGGGATTGGGAAGACCAGGGCGATATTGGAGGTGCTACATGACTCCTTTTACCTTGTTGACGCAGTGCTGAATTTTTTCCCTTTCTAAGCTTTCTTCTCGAGTCCCCATACTATACATCAATATGCGACCCGAGTCAGATAACAAGAATATGCCAGCAAGAGACCTTCTCGCGGCCCCCTTATTAGAGGCAAGGGTAGGAGAGGATTCGGGCAGTTACAAAAATCGCTGCAATAAATTCTTTACGGCCTTGTTTTCCCTGCTCAACGAAGAATTCAACCAACTTTTTGGGGATAACACTGTAGATATTTCTTCTGCTTTGGATAAATGGAAGCGTGAGATGGCTCCGGAGGCGAAGACCTCCTTTAGGAACGAGTTCTTCAAAAAGCTCCACAAGAAAGTAACTGTATGTCTTCCATTCAGACTCTTACCATGCTCAAATCTAATTGTCATATAGTCAAAGGAGATAGCAGAACCACCTTCGATGTCTCCTACTTCGTCATCAGGGTCCAATCGTAGCCTACCTCCAGCTCCAGTGGAACTCGTGGACACGCTTCGCAAACTCCTTGGGATATTGAACCGTCATTTTCAAGGCTTCAATCCCAAGCTAGTTATTTGTCTGGACGAGGTAGACACTCTTCGGGAGACATTCCGTGTTCTGGGCCAAGTGATCAATGGCTTCTCTACGTCCAAATTCCAATGCATAGGTATTTGGGTTATCTTTGCTTCTACCAACAGACAAATCAGCAAATCAGCAAGCCCAGACCGAGTTCGTGAGTTACGCTGGAGTTATAGTGTTTTGATCTCACCATTACTTCCACTCAGATCCGTCCCAAAGGGTCTACAAACATCATTACAAACTGTTCACTCCGTATACGTTATTTCTCTGGGACGCTCATGCAGAACCGTTCCGGAAAATGACTGTCTATCAGACTGGATTGTTCGAAGCTGCAATCAAATTTGGGAGGCCGTTGTGAGTTGTAAATCCAGTCACGTCTATATTCTATTAACACTGTTTAATACTTATAGATGGTATTCGGTGAGATCTTTGTACGACGACCCAATGAAAATGGCCTGCTTTGCAAAAGTCAAGCTCACTCTGAGGGACGAACGAAACTGGAATATGAGCGATGAATCTCAGGCTCTGGCAGCACTCGGCCAAAGATTTCTGTTACCCTTGATGATGGATAACGAGGAAACGGTGGACTATATTCAGGACGCTGTTGCACGGCACATGAGGGTCGTGCTTGGGACCTCTGAAGACGGGGAGAGGATATTATCTTCTTATCCTTCAGAGCCAGTTCTTTCACAGGCAGCAGCGGAACTTTTGCACAGCTCATCAACATCCTTGTGTAATGCTATCGATGTTCTGAGCCGCAAGATGGAAGGGGGTATGTTCGATAAAGGCCAAGCTAGCGAACTTGTGAGCAGATTGCTACTCCTTATCTGCCGTGATCTTGCTTCCACAAGATTCAATCACGATGGATATACAGATGACGCTGTAGCCAAGCTGCGCAACCCACTTTCCGTCGCCAAATGGCCTATTTCGGAACTGTCGTTCTCATACCTTACTCCGATACCGTTGCTCGACGCGTTATGCATGCTATTTGGTAATGCCTGGATGGAGCATGACACTGGCGAAAATGGCGTGAAAATGAAAGATAAAATTCACCCTTTTCGAAATGCCTATATCTCCGCTTCACACTGGGTCTCTATGAGCGTGAGTGTAGGAAATCGGAAAGATGTCAGGTAAGCCTTTTCGCATTCGTTCTTGCAACGGTTATTTTAACGGTTTCCCAGGTCAGAGGATTGGCTCAAGTACCATTTTATCAGGGGAGCCACAGTCCAGTGCTACTATAATCAGGAAGACATCGACCACGTTATACCGGTTGCATTTCGCCGCGACAACGGCGAGATCGTCATGTCGTGCATTCTGATTTCAATTAAGAACAGAAAATCTCGTTTTACCAAGTCCTACCTTGGAAATATCAACACCACAAACAAGAAAATCCGTTTACAAACTGAAATGCCTTATATGGTCATCTTGCTGAATTTCGGGGTCCAGGAGATGCAACATCAGGAGGTGGAAACGAGTTTGTATCGGGAGCGGCGCAAGGGTGGTGCAGGAGTTGAACCTGAAAGCATCCGCTTTCTTGCGCAGGGTCTCTCGAGCACGGTGTTTCCAGTTTTGGATGCATACCCAAAGCTGGAGTTTCTTTTCAAAAAGTTGGCCGGAGTGTCGTCGCCATCAGCAGACGCAAGTGCAGAACTCGGTAGAAACTTGTACGCTTCGATGGCATGGGGTAATGAACCTGCGTTGCCATACCTGGAATGGGGAGCATTGGAAGATCGCTTGGGGAGGGAAGACGATGATATGCAAGTAGACGAGT